ACTAATGGCATAAATATCCCCAAAAAATGAGTTCAACTGAATACACATAAAAAATATCACCACTTATCCACTATGCATGTCGCCTTGGTTACAACCTAGATAAGGTCGTATTAATGACTAAACATGGATGTTAGTACCCACTTTCCATGTTGTGCCTGTTATGATTAGCCAGATTCGAGATCTCATTTGGCGCCTAGAAGGCGGGCAAATAGAGAATTCGGGTTAGGCGCTAGAAAGCGACTAGACTAATATCTGTACGGTGTATCGAGTATGACGTCACTCTTTATGAAAGAGTTACTCCACCGTAGCATGTATTCATACTATATGTGCTTGGCGACCGAGTAATGAGGTAAGAGAATGAATCCCTGTTTCCTCACCGTGTGAGTCTTACGTGTCATTATTGATATGACTTTCATTTATGTACCATTTTGTGACTTTTGACTATGTCATAAGATAAGGGGTTGATGTTCTGCTACTTTGGTATGTTACCTGCGGCCATGTATGATTCGGCCTTAAGGGACATCACTGGGAAAGCGGTCAATCCTAAACTAAATGGCATGAGGGCAAAGGAAAGATCATCTAGTATTACACCACTGTTGTATATTCATTGCCGGCAACTCACATCGCTCTGTATGAGAGGCGAATTGAGTGTGAATATATTGTAAGAATTGAGAGGGTCAAACATGCTCTTTTGAGGGATTAGAGATGTTTTTTGGACCGGTGTAATTAGATGGGTCTGGGGTATATGAGACACTATTTCTGTTCTTTTGGGGTTGATGTCTCTATACTGGCTCATTTTGAGTTTCTAGTATAGAGCTCCCACATGCAGGTGTTCTCAGCAGTCACACGGTGTAATGGCTAGTATGAGATTGTTTATTTTTTGGGGAGATTGAGATAAGAGATGTGGCAATGTCATGTCAACTCATGTGCGAGTGAGAGATATTAGAAATTGGGCGCCCATGTGGCATGACCCTTTGAACTTAAACCTTTTGAACCTTATCCATATAAGTTTGAATTTGAATTCAAAACTTATTTGGATAACCATTCAGGATATCTATAACTATCATATCAATAGATATGGATAGATGGATAGATTGATATATATGTGGTTATATATCAGATTATATGGTTAATCTATGAGATACGTACATCAGATATACGTTATGTGGTTTTTACCCATAACCATTTTTCCCATACTCTCTCTCTGACTCTCTCCCATAAAACAACAATCAAGTCATTTTGCACTGTGACTTGTGTGGGTGATACTCATTTTGTAGTATCACTCCACTGCTGGGTTCGTTGTTCAGATTTTGGAAGCACGTGATTTACCCACGAGATTCTTCGCTACAAGGTATGATTCTGACATTTTTTCCCGCTGTAATATAATACTTTGATTTACACTTTGTTACTACCTTAATCTTACCACATTCGAAAGAGGACATTCTAGCCGTTTCTTCTGTAATTTCTATAACCTCACCCCAAGTCTTTCCAATGTTGATAAATGTACTACAGCTCCATAGATTCAATAGGACTCCAAAGCAACTTAGCCATACAAAACGTTCTTGGTCCATACACATACCTTGTTTCCATTGTGAAATAGATTCACACCACTCGTCTAGTAGATCACCGAGAAGGATTAATTTTTCTTCCATGTCCACCATCGATTGAAATGTCAACACCGCATCTCTTCCTCCACCTTGCCTGACTACTATGTCATCAGACCCCTTAAGATGTACAGCACCCTTAAAATCCACAAAGCTAAAATGGCTTCTTAATTTCACAATGATATTTCCAAATAACCAGCCATTACCCTCTTCTTTTGCGCAAACCACCACAGAACGTCGTTCTTAGCTCTTATAACTTCAACAAATGATCTTTTTCTGTCTCCTCCATATGGCTGTTGTTTATGTTCCCACCCCAAGCTGGAAACACGGCTTTTGTCTTTACCTTCCTTTGGTTTGAAAATGGACACATGCTGGCTACGAAACTGGGCCTTTCCAAACTCAGCCATGTTGACTTTAATAGCACAGTCATCACACCATATCCCATCAGCTTTTTGGATAGCCACCTCTGTAGCTACTGCACAATCATACAGAACAAATCCAAACCTTGTCCTAGTAGCTTTCCTAGTCTTATCTGGTATGAACACGTCTTTCACCACTCCGAACTTGTTGAACAAAAAAGACAAACCTTTCGAATTCATAGACGACGGCAAATTGTCTACAAAGACAGTAAACACCTCTGCTTTATCCCTATCTGGTACAGACCTTCGTATATGTCGCCCTCTTTGGTACAACACAGGATGTTGTCCTTCTCCATGCTGTCTCTCCTTATAGGGGGTCATGACTTGGAACTACAGACTTTTTCATAATTGGACGGATGCTTAATGACGAGTGGAGGGTTACGAATTGATTTTTCTCAATCCACTTAGTTTTGGACAAATTGCGGATTTGAGATTTTTTTGGCTGCAGCCGAACCGTCAAACCGTGAGCACCCCCTAGTAATTTGTAAGATTTTGTGTTTCCAATTTGTTTAGATATTTTATTTGTATTTTCAATTAAAAAAAAGTTTAGAGATTCTATTGTGTTTTCAATTTGAAAATCCTTTTTGGTATTTTTGTGTGAAAAATATAAGGCTTAATTTTGTCATTCAAAAAAAATCAAATTAAATAGTTTTAAAATAAAAAAAAAGTAATGAAACAGTTTTTATAATACATAATTTTCTTATATGTATTTATTATTAGTATTTGACAATTTACTTGATAATCTTTTGGTTATGTTGAGTTTGATTGTTATCCAAAACAACTATTGACAAGTTGTATTATGATCAAAATTTATAAAAGTTTAATCCGCAAAAACAATTCGCATCCATCCGCTAATCCACTCAATTTGCATTCGTCAATCCAACGGACGGATGCGGATTGATTTTTTTCAATCCAACAATCTGACAGACAGATAGCGGATTAGAGGTTTTCCGGCCGCAACCGAATCGCAAACACCTCTAATAGATGCGTATATATAGATGGTTGGCATATTAACAGATATTTGGACAACTAGGTGACGTGTACAAAATATGCGACATTTTGGATAGATGTGTGATATTGGAACAAATAGACACATAGGTAAACTTTGAACATATACGTGTCCTTTCAGATAAATAATGTTATTTGGGCGGGGAAAAAAAAAATTTAACCTCGCACCTATTGACTTAAAGGTTTAGAAATGATTTTTTAGCTTGAATGCTCTTTAATTTAATTTATTATGTGTTAAGAAACTAGGCAAAAATAAATGCAAAATGGATGGACTTTATAGAAAGGAATGAATCATTTCAAATAAACATTAACCCCTCAATCATATTTAAAAAGTGACTAAATTATTTTATCTATTAATTTCAGTTTAATTTTTAAAAGGTTGTATCAATTAGATTAAATTGATGTAATCTGAAAATTTTTAGAATAAAGTTAATGCAGGTTAAATTAACACAAGGGGGTGAAATTTATCCCTTTCAATCAATTTTTTGCCATTCTTGCTCATATTTTGTTCACTACTATGTCTTATGTGATATAGTAGATAGATACGTTGGCCTGTTTATTCTAGGAGATAGAGGTGAAATTGGGATTGAAATAGATGTGAGATTCACTATATATTGTGTTTATTTTGAGAGATGGAGAGAAGATTTATAATCTCATGGGATTAGGATGGGTCTTGATATTAGGATTGAGATGGAGAAAGTAGAGGCGGTATTAGGAAATTAGTCCCATGGGATTTGATTTTTTTTATTATTATTATACATGTTGGGCATTTTTTTTAACATTAATGTTTAATATTTTTATATTTTTTGTTAATTAAAATTATAATTTTATTTGTTTTAATATTCTATATTTTTTTTATAGAATAATAATTTAACAATCCCTACACTAACAAGTACCATCAAAATAAACATAATTTTACTTAACCTTCTCACGAACAATCCCATCACTATTAATTCATTCACTCTCAATTCCTTTTATTCTACCACTGAAAACAAATGGGGCCATAGGGTGTTTAGAATTATCTAAATAAATATATATTTTTATAAAAAATTATATGCCCTAAAAAAAAATTAAAAAAATATATTAAAATAAGATATGCCAAATAGTGCCACAATGTCTACACGTGAAACAATTCAAACTATAATGAGAGTTCTTTGTTAGCTTTTTAGTTTTTTAGTTATTTTAGTTTGAGGTTAAAAAATATGCATTCGTCAATCCAGCGGACGGATGCGGATTGATTTTTTTCAATCCAACAATCTGACAGACAGATAGCGGATTAGAGGTTTTCCGGCCGCAACCGAATCGCAAACACCTCTAATAGATGCGTATATATAGATGGTTGGCATATTAACAGATATTTGGACAACTAGGTGACGTGTACAAAATATGCGACATTTTGGATAGATGTGTGATATTGGAACAAATAGACACATAGGTAAACTTTGAACATATACGTGTCCTTTCAGATAAATAATGTTATTTGGGCGGGGAAAAAAAAAATTTAACCTCGCACCTATTGACTTAAAGGTTTAGAAATGATTTTTTAGCTTGAATGCTCTTTAATTTAATTTATTATGTGTTAAGAAACTAGGCAAAAATAAATGCAAAATGGATGGACTTTATAGAAAGGAATGAATCATTTCAAATAAACATTAACCCCTCAATCATATTTAAAAAGTGACTAAATTATTTTATCTATTAATTTCAGTTTAATTTTTAAAAGGTTGTATCAATTAGATTAAATTGATGTAATCTGAAAATTTTTAGAATAAAGTTAATGCAGGTTAAATTAACACAAGGGGGTGAAATTTATCCCTTTCAATCAATTTTTTGCCATTCTTGCTCATATTTTGTTCACTACTATGTCTTATGTGATATAGTAGATAGATACGTTGGCCTGTTTATTCTAGGAGATAGAGGTGAAATTGGGATTGAAATAGATGTGAGATTCACTATATATTGTGTTTATTTTGAGAGATGGAGAGAAAATTTATAATCTCATGGGATTAGGATGGGTCTTGATATTAGGATTGAGATGGAGAAAGTAGAGGCGGTATTAGGAAATTAGTCCCATGGGATTTGATTTTTTTTATTATTATTATACATGTTGGGCATTTTTTTTAACATTAATGTTTAATATTTTTGTATTTTTTGTTAAATAAAAATCATAATTTTATTTGTTTTAATATTTTATATTTTTTTTATAGAATAATAATTTAACAATTCCTACACTAACAAGTACCATCAAAATAAACATAATTTTACTTAACCTTCTCACGAACAATCCCATCACTATTAATTCATTCACTCTCAATTCCTTTTATTCTACCACTGAAAACAAATGGGGCCATAGGGTGTTTAGAATTATCTAAATAAATATATTTTTATAAAAAATGATATGACCTAAAAAAAAATTAAAAAAATATACCAAAATAAGATATGCCAAATAGTGCCACAATGTCTACACGTGAAACAATTCAAACTACAATGAGAGTTCTTTGTTAGCTTTTTAGTTTTTTAGTTATTTTAGTTTGAGGTTAAAAAATATCATTTGGGATAAATTTTTTTACTTTTTTAACTTTTGTGATAAAAAAAATGAAATGATTATGATTTGGATATGATATTTTGTATTATTAACTTTTTAATTTATTTTTTCTTTTTAGGTTTCATTTGGTAACCCACTGTTTTAACCAAACAGTGAAAAAATCACTAAAAAAAATAAAAAACCAATAACTTATACTAAAAAGTCAAAAATTTCATTTTCTCTCTACTTTTTACACATATTTTTATAAAAAATAAAAAAGTCATTCTAAATATATTAATTTTTTTATCTCATATTTTTATTAAAAAATTTAAAAAATTACTAAAATAATCTATTCTAAAATGGGACCGCCATTTAGTCCCCAAAACCAGCTTTGCCAAACGAGTGCTGAAATGTAAAAATTCTCTAACAACCTCATTAGTTTTCATGAATTGAAAGTCAATCCTTCTCTTTAAATTGGTTCGTCCATTGGCTGTATTATATTATTTTAATGTAATTAATCAAAGAATATTAGATATGTAAACAAAATAGTATTTTCAAAAATAAATTTATTTCTGATATACCCAAAAAAAAAAAATTCACTTTATTCTCTCAAATTATTATGCTTGTGTGTTATTTTATTATCTAAACTATCAATTTAAATAATTATTTTCATAAATTATTGACATTAATTCACTCTTATTTCAAATTGTTAATGAAATTAATAATTTTACAAAATATTATATCTATCGCCACACTATAATGTTTTTGTTATATTTTAGCACATTGCGTGGATGATGTATTACATGCACAGGCAATACTTTGCTACTATCAATTGTATATATGTTGTGTTTTTGTTGAATATTTTCAAATCAATTAATTGTGTTTTGTTGAAAGGTATTTAGATATTTATTTCCACATTATGGATCACCAGAATTAATACCTTCAGTCAATTGCGTTTCTGCTAGCATGTGTGATATTCTATAAAAATATCAACTATGTTAATGGTTAGGGTTAACATGAGTTAATGTCAATAGTTGGTTAGAGGAGAAATAAATTAATATCAATGGTTTAAGGGAATAATTGTTCAAATTGATGATTCAAGAAAATAAAATTACACAAATGTGATATAGTTTGAACAAAGTGAATTTTTTCAAGTAGTTTCTATTTTAGAGGGAAAATGTCTTTGTCTCTTTTACGTTGTGTTTGGTTGAGAGATTTGAAAAGGGTTTTGGAAAGGGAAAAACGAAAAGAGAAAATGTGTGTAAAATTATGTGAAATTTAGGTATGTTTTATTTATATTTCACCTACCTTTTTCATTTCTCTTTTCAAATCCCTTCTTAAATCTCCTAACCAAATACAGCATTAGTCTTATTCAAAAATTTTGTATTGTCCCCTTTTCTATCCTATGATTAGGGGTGTGCATGGTACAGTTTGAGAGTAAAATTACAAATCGAATAACGGATTGGAAGATTGACAAATAATGGTTTGGGCAGTTTTGGGTGGATTGAATAATATTCTAACAAATTATCAAACATTTACACAATATACAATACTAATTTGCATAATATTTTTCATATATATAACACAAACTAAGGCCTCGTTTGGGAACCTTCTTTTTTAGCTAAGAAGTAAAAAAATTACTAAATTAGCCAAAAAGCCAACAACCTATACCAAAAAGTCAAAAATTCTCTTTTCTCTCTAATTTTTGCATATTTTTTCGTAAAAATTCAAAAAACCATCCTAAACATACTAGTTTTTTTTAGCTCATATTTTAGCCAAATAGCCAAAA